CTGGTTTGAGAAGTTTAGAGCTGCACTTGTTAGATTCGGCTATGTCCAGACACAGTAAAATCATACTCTCTTTGTGAAGAAAAGTGGATCTCTAGAAGTGTATCTCATTGTGTATTGTGTATGTTGATGACATTATAGTAAGTGGTGATGATGCCTCAGGCATTCGGGCCCTTAAGTCTTTCCTTCGCACAGAATTTGAGATTAAGGATCTAAGAGAGTTGAGATACTTCCTTGGCATAGAAGTTGCTAGATCTAAGGATGGGATTCTTATCTCCCAGAGGAAATATGTTATTGATTTGCTGTCTGAAACTAGAAAGATGGGTGCTAGACCAACTGCAACTCCCATTGATATGAGTCACAAACTTTCAGCTTCGAATGGAACATTGTTGGAAGACAAAGGGGTCTTTCAGAGACTTCTTGGGAAACTCCTATACTTGTGCATGACTCGGCCAGATATTGCATATGTTGTCAGTTGTATTAGCCAGTTCATGCATGCTCCCAGAGATACTCATATGGCAGTTGCAGAAAGAATTTTGTGTTATCTGAAAGGCTCTCCAAGAAAGGGAATTCWATTTACTAAGCATGGTCATCTGAAGCTTGAAGCTTATACTGATGCTGACTGGGCTGGCAATATTGATGACAGAAGATCTACTTCAGGGTATTGCAGTCTGGTGGCTGGTAATGTTGTCTCTTGGAGGAGCAAGAAACAATCAGTTGTGGCCCGATCYTCAGCAGAAGCAGAATACAGGGCCATGGCACATGGAGTCTCTGAACTGTTGTGGCTAAGGTCATTGATGGARGAACTTGGGATTGATCATGACAAGCCAATGATGTTGTACTGTGATAATCAGGCCGCCATCAACATTGCCCACAACCCAGTACAACATGATAGAACTAAGCATATTGAGGTTGATAGACACTTTATTCGAGAAAGAGTCTCTTCGGGTGAAGTGTGTCTTCCATTCATCACTTCTGAAGGACAATTGGCAGATTTTCTCACCAAGGGCATTCCCAAGGCAAGGCTTCAGCATGACACTGGCAAGCTGGGCATGATTAACATCTATGCTCAACTTGAGGGGGAGTGTAGAGGAGATGGGCCGAATGGCCCATAGGCTATCATTCTATGTTATGTTTATGTTTTTTCTCTATAATGGGCCTTATTTTGGGCCCATACTCTTATATACTCTGTTTTGTAATTTCTTGCCCATCTAAGGGCCCCTCTGTAATATTTCAAAGATTAAGTTAATAAAATGATTAAGAGTGTTAGAGGGAGGTTAGAGGGAGGTTAAGTTCGAACCTCTCTTCTCTAACTCTCTCATTGYCGCCAGCTCTCTTCCTCTCTCAACTTCTTAAGCTTCTCTTGTTCTTTTTCTGGTTTTGTATCTAATCTCAAGCTGTTCTAGACTACAAGAGGGTTGTTTTCAACTGATAGTTTTCAAGGCACCAAGGACATGCTAGGCAATAGGAAGAGAACATCTTGTGGACTAGGCGGTAGATTTTTTAAATAAAAACCATGAATCCTAGGGAAATTCCCTAGGTTTCACAGCAAACAGCAACCATCTTTCACTAGTAATTATCTACAATCTTCACAAAAAAAGTAGAAAGTTCACAATAAAACATAGAAAATCAAAACATACATGGGAAGAAAAAGAAGAAAAGAAAACTTAGAAAACATAGGGACTAAGCCACTGTTTATGTCCTTGGAAAATAAAAGAGAAGAAGAATGTATTCATTGAACAAAATTTAGTTCCTTGCTTATCTGTTCAGGTTTTGAAGTCTTCAAGGGTTCAAGACAGCATACACCAAGGGAGTGCAGCATGTAATAAACATGAACTTGGACAAGCTAATTACTGAAGGTGATTCCAAGGCAGTGGTTGGTTGACTAGGAACAAGGGAGCAGCATGAGTCTATACAGATGAACTAAAGAAGATTAAATGGGAGGCAAGAACCATGCACATGCAAGTACAATGGGTACAAAGGTTGGCAAATGGGTTGACTTAGGCACTAGCCAAACAGGGGGTTAATAGGGATCTCACTTGTATTGGGCTCAACTATAATCACAAAAGTTTGTATATTGGGAGAGGTGGTAATTTAGCCTCTCCAAAGGGTTTGATATGTATATGCAAAAGATTCAAAGCAACAACACATCCAATACACACAAACATGCGTACCAGGTGTTTTGATACTATAAAAACTATTTTTTTATTTTGTTAATTTGAAATTTTCACAGGGGGTTGGTTTTAGGGGTAGTTAACATTTAAAAACCCAAGTCTTTGGAAAATCCTTAAAAATAGGCATTTCAATCAGCTTACGAGATGATAAGTATGCTAGTATATAAACCCTAACAAATTAATACACCAACATGTGTATTGATTAAACCCTAACAAATGAGAAAACAACAAAAAGAAACTAGTATATAGACCCACAAAATGAATAATTTAGATTAATAGTTTCTATTTTAATATTATATTCTCAAAAATAAAGAACATAAAAATATTTCATAGTGCCATGTACAAAATAGCTAGGCACTTAAGCAAGGCGACCCTCCATGGGTGGCTTGCACCTAGGCATTGCCTTGACAACTATGCTTGGCATAAATCATTTAAAACTTACAATGCAAAAAGTTGCTCACAGCAATGCAATCAATTCAAATGGCAACTTACAATGAAATTTTGCATGGATAAAATTTGCCTCAATAGAGCCTCCCAGTGCACTCATGCGAGCCACAATAGCAATTTTTCTTCTTGATATTCCCATCAGAATCATGAACCTGGTCTATCATATAGTTGTAATGGTAAGTTAACTCCTGTAAGGGAGGAATATTCTCAGCAGCAAAGAGCATTATGTGAGGCATTCTCTTGTCATCATGATCATAAAGGACATTTTGTGCATAACAGTTAGGTGAACAACTATGGTTGACGAATCTCCCTATATTCCCATATAGCGCTGCATCAATGGTGAAGCCTACATCCTCCACAACTTCACTAGAACTTGTTTGCAAATCTGGTACCAAAGTTGAGAGTCCATCCCAAAGGGTATGATCATTGTAGTTGTGTCCAATATCAAACAAATACTCATCATTGTTAGTTCTTTGCTCAGCCTCTTTATCCTCAAGCAGTTCTCCTGTATACTCACATATAAAACTTCCAGATGGGATGGAAGTTAGGGATCTGACACCCCAACCCTTGGTTTTGGTTTTGAAGATCTCTAGCTGAAATTTGATGCCATGCTGGCTAACTCTGTTATGGCAAGATGGAGGGCACTTGCAAGAAGGACCACATTCATAAACAAGGGGCTTTGCTTCCACAATAGCACCATTATAGTTGAATGGGATCTCTCCTCCATTCTTTACTGCACAAAAGCATTTCTCAGAATCTGAGCACCCATCTGTACAATCACAACCCCTAGGAGGTAACTGATTGTACCATTCAGCGTATATGATATTGGTTGTGTATGTAAACTGTGGAGGCTTCTCATCATCTATGGTGTTCACAGCACATATACGCATCTTCTCTTTTCCACCAGAAATATCATCCACACAGAGACCCTCACGTACCTTCAATTTCTTTGACTTCTTTACTTCTTTAAGTGCAAGTTCTGGCTGACCTGGATTTCTTCTCAGCTGATACTTAAAGACAGAAGAACCATAACGCCCTCTTTCCTGCCAAAATTTCTCCACCTTGTACAGCCCATCATAGATGTATGTTGAAACCAACTTACCCTTGGTGTCAGAGGCCTTCATTTCTTTATATCCACGGATAACTCTGACAAATGTACCTGCATCCATACTATTCTTCAGTGATAGATTTCCTCGTTCGAGCTTTTGATCTTCAGCTTTCTTATCTGCACTCGCTGGCTTTCCTCCGGAGCCAGTATATACCAAGACATCAGAACTGTCCATGTCATCTGCATAATCACCAGAAGCCAAAGCAACAATACTTGTCGCAATAATTTTTTTACCTTGCTTCATGTAATCTATACCACCTTGAAATGGGCGATGAAGACCAATGATAGCAAGCTCTACCCTAAAATGAAACTCATCACCAACTTCAACCCCAGGGACAGGTCCCAAGATCTTCTCAGTATTAACCCATTTGTTTTTGTCCTTGAGAATAGCTGAAGCTATGAGATCAATCCGTTTGGAAGGATTTCCTTGATCCCTCGACTTTGCTTCCTCTTCCTGCAAGAGCTTTCTACAGATCACTTGGAAGAGACGTAGGGTCTCCCTGACTTTGTTACGGGCACCTTTATCACTCGAAGAATTAACACCAAATGGAATCAAGCTCAGTTCCAAATCATGTGATTTTTTACCCACAGGAATATTTTCAGCTTCTTGTTCATGTTCGAGAAAATCTTCCTCCTCCCTGACAACCAGTTGACCAATCTCTTCATAAGCAATCTTTCCTATAAGAGACAACTTCTTTGTAGTTTTTCCTACTAAATTTCCTGATTCATTATTCTTTTTTCTAGAAACAGAAGCAGATTTTTCCCGAACCCCATTTTCACTCTTCTTTGCTTTGTTTTTTGTATAACTAGTTGGGGTAGATTTGAAAGCCCGTCTTCCCTGCCTCCATGGACAGTTTGGTGCAGCCATCAGAGCCTGCACAATAACCCTGTTATCATGGTGTCCAAAACCAGGGGAGTCTTCTGTTGTTATTTCTCTTGGAGATTTCATGTTAGTTTCTTCTGTATCTTCCCATTTTGAGTTGCTTTCAGAGTCTGCTCTAATTTGAACTTGCTCCTTAAGTTCTTTATGTACATTTCCTTTCGGTTTTTTGTTTTGAGCATCTCCATCATGAATTCTATCTGTGTTTTGTTCAGCATCATCCTTGACTTCACAAGTTATTTTCACTTGAAAATGTTCAGCCATTTCTTTGGTAACATCTCCTTTGGATTTAGCTTTTTTCTCAATTTCATTAGTAACACCACCTTTTGATTTATCATTGAAAACATCTCTGCCTTGAACCTCTTGACCAATTTGTTTCCCACTAGGCATGGCATCGGCTAAGTACTTGCCTCCGGAAGAAGAAATGGCTCTTAACTGTTCTTCCTTACTTGCAGATGGAGCATTTCTCCCACAACCTTGCGGAAAATCTCGATTGGCTGAAATTTTACTCCGAGAAGGATATTTCTTTGACAACCTCGCATTTGTGTTATCAACAACAAGACTGGATGGTTGAGGCTGATCTGAAATCTTTGACAATTCCAAAGTAACAGCCAGCACAGAATTCTTAGCTGACTGCAATTCCAAAATACTAGTTGCTTGCATATCCAAATTCTTTGATGAATCAAGCAATTCTGCCGGTTCGCCTGCTTCCGACTCAACAGGAGACTCCAAAAGCTTTGGACTCTTGGTTTTCAGATTTTCTGATGAATCCAAGGGTTTTGCTCGAACGGAACCTTCTAACAATGCAGGAGCTTCAAAGTTGACACAAGTTCCAACTTGCAGGGCAGGGATAGACTCTAAAACAGAAGCGTTTCCTGCCCCAACTTTCAGGTCCTTAATAGCAATAACTGCAGCAGCATCTCCTTCTCTTGAACTGCCATTAGTTATTGGTGCAACCCGTTCAGATCCATTGGAAAAATCCAAGTTGGCAGGGTTAGGTTCTAGAACGGCAGCACCCTCTACCCCAACTTTTGAATCCTCTACAGCAATAGTTGCAATAGCATCTACTTCTCTTGGACTGCAAATTCTCTGTGCGGATCCTCCACATCCCTCGGGCGAATCCCTGTTAACAGGGCCGGGTTCTAAAATGGCAGCAACACACTCCACCCTAACATTTGAGTCGTCGACAGCAATAACTGCAACGGCATCTCCTTCTCTTGAAATGCGGTTACTTATCGACGCAAATCGTCCACATCCCTTGGGAAAATCCCGGTTCGCCGACATCTTCCGCCGCTTATACTTGGCAAGAAAATCGTTAGGAACAGCAAAACCGTTTTCCAGGGGCCTTTTTAGCAACATCTCGGCATTAGCACCACCATTGATTAATATTCCCATGCTTGATGATTCCAAAGAATTCTCTGTTTCCCCCATTTCAATTTCCATAATGTTAGGTAATCGTATGGCTAATAAAAAAGAGAGGTCAATCAGAACAGAGAAGGTATTAGATTAGAGAATGTGCAAAAGGTTTCAAACTGCACATCAATCAACCTAAACAGATAAAATGAAACTAATGTTAAGCGATTCACGCTACGTAACTTACTTATTAATTCTTAGGTGTTCAATAGACCGATGTTTGCACATTCCTACGAGCTCATAGACCTACGGAAACATTCGGAGATTAATCAAACTTCACACAAAGAAATAAATAAGGCAATAATCCGAATCAATACGTGGAACTGATAATCGGAAAAACCCTAAATCCATAAGGGGGGCGGGGGGTATAATCTCGTTGAGAAGTTCACATTTAAAAAGAGTTACCGGAATCTTCGAAGCCGGAAGTGGCGAAAGATGCGACGATGGAAATGTAAAGGGTCTGGTGATTGCAGTTCCACACAGACACAGGGGAAAGGCGAGGAGCGGAGAGTTGGGGGGGTAGTTTGTTATTTTTAAGGCGTAAGATAGAGAGGGATGGTTGTTTGCACGATCACAGGAACGCAGGCTTACACCTTACAGCACCATTAAGGTGTGTGTTTTTTGTTTTTCTAATAGAATAGAAGCACCATTAATAAAGTGTCCATGTGTCAGATTTCCAAACCTTGTGGAATGAATGGGGAGTTACTCTCACTCCGACCTCACAGCCGCATCCATCGTCTATTGGGAACATCTCCCCCATGAATAATAAATATAAGTAGGAAGATGTTGCCGATGTGCGGCGAGGACATCCTTTCAGGTCAGAGTGCGGAGTTTCACATAACTCTCCTCACTCCGATCTCACAGTCACATCCAATCGTCTATTGGAATATCTCTCCATGAATAATACAGCAGATGCTCTTGATTAGACTTGTTCATGGGCCGGGCTCGGGCTTGGCTTTTGCAAAAATTTGAATGGATCAGGCCCAAAGCGCGAGCCTGACACAGTGTAAATCTGGCCCATAAACAAGAACACTCCTGATGTGTGACTAGGACATGTTGTGAGGTCAGTGTGAAAAGCTCTATGTGAGGAGAAGATCTGGACTTTGGAGACGTGACAAGATCTGCCCCTCACAAATGGGCGCCTCACAAGAACATCCACCGTGCACTGGGAACATCTCCCATGAATAATAACTGATAAGTACAGGAGATGTTCTCGATGCATGATAGGATGTGCATGTGAGGCACCAGGTGTGAGGAGCATATTCGTTCTCTCTAGAGACTGGAATCACGAGTCCTATCATGTGCCAAACTGGCAGTTGAGCCCATCTCATTCTCATCTCACTATTGTTGTTTGATACAAGATCATATCTGCATAGGAATGGCAATAGGGAAGGGTGGGGTCGGGTTTTGCTTGCCCCATACTCGACCCCGAATTGAAATTCCCCACCCTGAACCCTAGCGAGGCTAAAGTCTTAACCAAGGTTTTCAAAAACCATCCGGGTCGAACAGTTTGGACGGTTTGCATATTAGGGAAAACCACCCCAAATTGCTTGCCTTGCCCCGCCCCAATCATTCTTACTTGTATACTTATAATTTTTTTTTATTTTTTTGAAGCTTACCTATAACTATTTTATATTATGTAATATAATATATAATAATATAATGTGATATAATATACATTAGCATATATTAACAATTTTATATGTATTATGTTATATAATATAGTCGGGGTGGGGTGGACAAATACCATCCCCGCCCCATCCCCGACCCCAGAGTTTTGGGTTTTCCCCGAACCTCGACCAATGGTCAGAAAACCCATCCTAACCAGGGTGGGGCCCCATGGGGACAAATCAAATTGCCATCTCTACATCTGCGCCCCATATGTACATCTCAATGTGCATTGGGAACACCTCCCGAAGTGGGGTGTTTGTGGGGCACCATCTATGGGGTGTAGATGTGAATTTGTTTGATAATTGTTATAGGTGTTTCAAAAACCGATCTGAAAGCGGAACCGCTTTTTCATCATGAGTGGTAGATCAGCACTTCACAAACTCAATTGTGCATAAGGCATTAAGGCTCCCACCGATGCGGGGTACCTAAACAACCATTTTGTTGGGATTATGGTGTAGAAATTGCATCCTAAAACAAAAATATGAATTATGTTAAGGGTAAATTACAAAGCCCCCCCCCCGTACTATGGGGTTGTTATGGACACACCCACCGGCAGCACACTACGGCGCAGTCATAGGCAGCGGCACGCACAGCAGGTCGCACAGCAGCACGCACCACCAGGCAGCGCGTAGCACGCACCGCCCGACAGCGCGCACGCACCGCCCAACAATGCGCAGCACGCACCGCCCAGCAGTGCACAGCACGGCAGCAGCACGCGCCCCACGGCAGCAACACGCACCGCACGGCAACAGCAGTAGAGCGGGGCCCACATGACAACTCATCAGAGTGGGTCCGCACTTATCTTACCACATCAGCTCTGCTCGCCAACTCGCCGCCAGCTACCCCATTCCTCATCCCTTATCTTATCTTATCTTATCTATCTTAAGAATTGTGTTATCATTAGTAGTAGGTAATTAGGAGTTTGAAGTAAGTTGGATTACCTAGCCTAACCAAATCCAACAAGGAGTTCTCTTATGTAACCTCCTATTTAAGGAGCTACGAATTGAAGTTAAGGCATTTAGTTTTCAACCAAGAAAGGTGTTAAGAGAGTTTGGGTGATCTCTTGGACAAATCACCCACGCGATTGCCACAATAGGGTTTGTACGCAAGGGCAAGGGCAAGGGAAGATAGGAGTCTCTCCTGGTGGACCGACCCGTGACAAGATCCTACGCGCGGGCCCATAACATTTTGGTATCAGAGCCTACCGTCATGGGGGAACAAGAACCGCTGTCATCCAAGGTCCACGAACTAGAACACAAACTTGTAGAGACCAGCATGGAGGTACGTGAGGTCAAGGATGATGTTCGGGAGCTTCGATGCTTGCTGGAGACGTTCTTAGCCAATAGGGAAAGAAACTCAGAAGGAACTGCCACCAACAACAGCCGTAGACCAGACTGGGCAGAAACGTCTGTCAAACATCAGGTGGCCACCTCGACTGCCGCTGTTATCCCCAAATACAGCCGGCTAGAATTTCCATCCTACAACGGCGCTAGAGACCCACTGGGATGGTTGCACCGCTGCGAATAGTTCTTCCACAACCAGCGCACCGATGACAGAGACAAGGTCAATCTGGCCGCTTTCCACCTCACAGAAGAGGCACAACTTTGGTTCTACCGCCTAGAGCAGGAAGAACCCAAGCTTAGTTGGGAACAATTTAAATCCTATTGCCTCCTCCGGTTTGGACCCCCGCTGACAAGCAACCCGCTGGGCGAATTGATCAACCTCAAGCAGACTGGGGCTGTGGCAAATTATCAGCGCCAGTTCCAAACTCTTCTTGCCAGGGCAGCCTCGGTACGCCCAGACCAACAAGTCGACATGTTCACAACAGGGCTAATGGAACCCCTAAGGGTGGACGTCGAGATGCAGTACCCCCTCTAAAGGACGGCAGGCCCATCCTCCAACCGGCAGCACACTACGGTGCAGTCATAGGTAGCGGCACGCACAACAGGCCGCATAGCAGCACGCACCGCCCGATAGCGCGCACACACCGCCCAACAGCGCAGCACGCACCGCACGGCAACAGCATGCGCCCCACGGCAGCAGCATCCACCGCACGGAAGTAGCACTGTGAGGCACACGCCGCCCGACAGCAGCAGTAGGGCAGGGCCCACATGACAGCTCATCAGAGTGGGTCCGCACTTATCTTGTCACATCAGCTCTGCTCGCCAACTCGCCGCCAACTACCCCATTCCTCATCCCTTATCTTATCTTATCTTATCTTAAGATTTGTGTTATCTTTAGGAGTAGGTAATTAGGAGTTTGAGTTAAGTTGGATTACCTAGCCTAGCCGAATCCAACAAGGAGTTCCCTTATGTAACCTCCTATTTAAGGAGCTACAAATTGAAGTTAAGGCATTCAGTTTTCAACCAAGAAAGGTGTTAGGAGAGTTTGGGTGATCTCTTGGACAAATCACCCACGCGATTGCCACAATAGGGTATGTACGCAAGGGCAAGGGCAAGGGAAGACAGGAGTCTCTCCCGGTGGACCGACCTATGACGAGATCCTACGTGCGGGCCCATAACAGGGGTCTACGACAAAGACCCAAAGACTCTTGTATTTTGTTTTGCAACAAAGACCCCCCTTGTACTATGGCCGAGAGACAAAGACCCCCCTTGACCGTTAAACCAGATGACAGAATGCATTAAATTACCAAAATACCCCACTAAACTTTTTTCTATTTTCTTTTTTTTGCCCTTTTTCTCTTAAAACCTATTTAACCTTTTTTTTCCCCTTTTGCCATCCATCTAACTAGTTTGGCATTCCCATTCAGAAATAAAATAGAACAAATAAAAGAAATGAATATTATCCATTAAAGAAACACCAACAACAAAGATCAAGCACGCCAAAGCAAAAAAAGTTCAAAAAAAGTCATTACCAATCGGCTTCCTGCTCATCCAAAATTCTCACAAATCCTGCAAGAAAGCACGTAAAGGCATAACTCAATCGAAAGTTTACATATCAAATTGTCAAGTTTCTCCTTCAAACTTCAAACATTCTACTAAAGATTCAGGAACTCAGTAATGGCTTTTCAAAACTAAATTGCCCAAAAACACCTAAAAACTGAAATCAAAACAACAACACAATCCAGATTCGCCTTCAACATTCTAAAACACAGTGAAAGAAATGTAGGAAAGTGGGTTTATCGGTACCCTTTTGATTATGTCTTCAAGACTTCAACAAAGACAGAGAGAGATGGAGGTGAAAAAAGGTAATATAAAGAAACAGCAAGTCGGAAAAGGAAAACGTAAATGATGAGATGGGCCAATTTCATAATGCCCTGTACTTGGGTGATGTCAAGGAGCGTGTCAAGATTTTGGAGAATGTTGTCCATTTGCCCCTTGCATATGTTACTGTTGTTATCCATGGTCTCCAAGATGTTGCTGAACGTCTTGTAGCTGAATTGGGAGATAATGTTCCAACCTTGCCAGAGGGGAGAGTATCATCGCTTTTGATGCCTCCATCACCTATTCTCTGTGGAGGAGATTGGTCCTTGTTGAGGGTTATGAAAGGTATCTTTGAGGGTGGGCTGGATAATGTAGGGAGGGGTGTAGAGGAAGATGATGAAGAGGCTGCTAATGATGATTGGGGTGAGGACTTGGATATTATTGATGCAAATGGCATGCAGAATGGTGACATTATTGTGGTGGTAGATGATGGAGAAGGGGAAGAAGAGAGATCGGGGGAGAGAGAGAGGGAGAGAGAAATGTGAAGAAATCTGAGGTAGAGGGGATTACCACCGTTGTTGTTCGTGTATCGTGAGGTCGGGGAAGATGAACAGTGTTTTTCTCCCTTGTCTGAATAGTTATTACAAGGGTAATATAGGAATTAAAAAATATTATAACGGCCTTTTTGGACGGAAGGCTAATGGAAAGGGGTCTTTGTCTCACGGTCATAGTATAGGGGGGTCTTTGTTGCAAAACAAAGTACAGGGGGTC